GCAATAATACCAAGCCTTATCTTTCCTATTTTTGTTGCAGACTTACTCAGAGGACCTGAGAATTAAAATGGGAACAGAGTTTTTAATTGAAGGGTTGGGATCTTTAGTCTTGAACTCAGATCACTCTTCTGAATCATTTGTTAGGCATTTGAGTTAAACAGCTGTTAAAACAAAACATCACTAAAACTCCATTCACCGCTTTATTTGGTCAAGTTTCACTATTGGTGATGGCACTCTACTAGCTCTCCAGTCATCCATAGACTTCCAGGAAAGCCAAGTAGACAAAACTTGAATTTCTAATATAAACAAAGAAGTAAACCAACCTTTTAAACCTTTTTATATTAAAAAGGCACAAAACTTGCTATAGGGCTGATTTGGAATGAATAACCCCATGTACATATGAACTTAGGGAGTGGATAAGGGCTGTCTGGCTGCAGCTCAGTCCAGACCAAACTGAAATAATGGTGGTGGTTTGGGGAAGCAGTTGGAAGAATTGGAATTTAATAATGATGGTAATAATTGGAATGACTGCCATTTTTAATACAGGTGCATCACTTGTGTGGTTGACTTTGGGCTGCTCCACAATGTCTGTTTCAGTACATGTCACCAAAAGAGTGCTTGTTTCCATCTGTACATTGCAAGAAGTGTGACCTTTGCTCTTTTCTCTCCCGTGCAGACCTTGCCACACTTACCCATGCTTTTGTCATTTTAAGATTAGACTGTTATGTGGTCTATGAGGGCATCCCTCAAGTCACTGTGACACTGGTGCTAGCATAAAAGTGTGTGGCATGCTTATCAAACAAAATTCCACCTGGGGAACACATTACACTATTGGTCTGGGATCTGTACTAGCAACCATTAGGTTTCCAGGTGCAATTCAAGATTCTGGTGTTAAACTATAAAGCTATAAAAAGTTTGAGATCTAGGCCACGTCTGCACTACAAACTTTGGCTGACACAAGTTACTTCTGTATACAGCTGCTGAAGTTTGTATATTGCTTGGGCATGTGCATACTTGGCTGTTTGTGTTGACTCTGTGCATACTCACCAAGAATGCTTGTATCGACATAAAGTAAGTATCCCAAGTGCGCCACACAGCACCGTCCAGCACAATGCCTTTTGGGATATTTTTGCAGTGTTTTGTAGGATAGCAATAACTCACCCAGTGATCTCTGGGAGCTAGGGGTCAAAGTCCCATGATGCAACTTTTTCCATCTCATTATGGCATCCAGACCCCATAATTTTCATGACCTTTTTTAAAAAAAAAAAAAAAAAAAAACTCACAAACCTGCATCATCCTTTTCAGTTGCCATCTCTGACAAAAGCATGATGCGGTGCTGGGGGTGCAGCAGCACCCCCTGGCTTGAAGTCGTTTCCCTCATGTACAGAGTTTACAGTTTTGTTCAGTGGCTTTCAGCACCCCCATTATAAAAATTGTTCCAATGCCACTGAAAGCATGGAGCCTGCAGAGCTATGCACTATTCTTATGAATACTGCAAATACAGGATGCATGATTTTCCTGTATTTGCAGACTGTCAGGAAGTACCTCAACAACGGAGGACATGAGGATTTATTCAAGGACGGTTTGCTGAGGGACATATTCAAGGTTTTTGGTATTCACAGAGTAACTGCAGACAGTGGAGCACCACTTCTGGGCTTGATAAACGAGCACTGGGTGGTGGGGTTGCATGGTAGTGCAGGTTTGAGATGATGAGCAGTAGGCTGCAGAACTTCTGGATGCAAAAGGCCACACTCCGAAATCTGTGTGGTAAGCTTGCCCCAACCCTCTAATGCATGGACAGCAGAATGTGAGCTGCACTGACAGAAGAGAAGCCAGTTGCAATCGTGTTCTGGAAGCTTGTAACCCCAGATTGCTACCAGTCAGTGAGATCATTTTGGAGTTGGAAAATCCACAGAGGAGGGCCATTGTCATGCAATTGTGTAGGGCTATTAACTGTCTCCTCCTATGCAGAACTGTGACTCTATGCAGTGTACAAGAAATAGTGGATGTGTTTGCCATAATGGGGCTCCTGAAGTGTCCCCGTGCCCCCTCGCTTGGGCCAAAACTTTGAAAGGTCTCAATTCTGCCTTTTTCCTGTTCTTCTCCTCTCATGGTACTGCTCTGCTACCTACCCCAATAAAGGAGAACTAACAACTTAAAATGCCTTGTTAAAAATTTTTAAGTAACACTTACATTTGCTGTCAGGCGTTTGAAAGTTAAGTTTTCTTGTCTACATAGTAAACACTGGCATTTTTATCTGTTTGAATAATCAAAGTGGTGCCTTCTTGGTTGCAAAGATTTGAACTGCTTCCTGAAGGTCCACGGTCTGGGCCAGCTCATGCTATATTGAGATGGTTGCAAAGCCGACCAGCCTCTCCTATGTCATTGTGGAGCGTAGATGTGTTTTTATTAACTTCAGCTTGGAGAAGCTGCGTTCTCCACTGGCAACTGTTACAGAAAGTGTTAGAAGTATGCACAGAGCAACAAAAGCATTTGGAAAGAGGGTGGTCATCTTATTTGTGCACATATATTCCAGAACAGACTTTGGAGTTGATCCTGCTGAAATATATCTTTAAAAGGCTTTCAGTTCATCACCTAAATCACTCACATCAATATCGCGCATGTCATCATGTGTCAACACTGTCTCTAGTGCCCTGCATTGTTGGTGTAGGTCTTCTTCAGGTATAGTGAGGAGTTTTGGAATATCATACAACATCCCAAATATACTGCTATGTTCCTTGAGCTGCATGAAACATTTTTCAACTGACTGTATTGCACAATCTAGCATCTAGTTAAAGAATTCAACTTTGAATTGTTGTTTGGGGTCTCTTATGGGATTATCCCATGTTTCGTAATCAAAATGTCGTCTTCTTTGGTGACTCTTGTATTCTTGAATTGGTGGGAAAATAGCTTCAGTGTGAAGTTCCTCTGCCAACTTTTGTGCACTCTTCAGAACGTTTTGAAATCCCTCATCTGACCGGTAAGTCTGTAGGTATGACTTTGCTTTGTCCAGTTGTTCCATTGTTCCCGATATATCAAGGTCAACACCTTGGAGTCTCTTGCTTATAACATTTATTTCAAACAGTATGTCATGCCACAACACTAAGCCACACAGAAATTTGAAGTTATGTATGTTTCTGGTGATTCCATTTCCCTCTGCCACTGTTCTCCCATGAACAGTTCCTGTCATAGCATTATCCTATAATGGCAACTATGGGGGATAGCTCAGTGGTTTGAGCATTGGACTGCTCAACCCAGGGTTGTGAGTTCAATCCTTGAGGGGGCCACTTAGGGATCTGGGGCAAAATCAGTACTTGGTCCTGCTAGTGAAGGCAGGGGGCTGGACTCAATGACCTTTCAGGGTCCCGTCCAGTTCTAGGAGATAGGATATCTCCATTAATTTATTTATTAAAAGCTTTCTTTCTTTTTCTGAATGCTGCCCCAGAGGGGTGTTTTCTTCTTTCACTCATGACTGCGGTTCTGTGCCAGCTATAGTGGCTCTCAACACTCAATTGAAGGGGACAAATAAGCAGGCTGGTAGCAGGGCCTGAGTGAGGGAAGATATCAGAGTCCTAAGGGCCTAACTAGCTCCTACTACTTCAGTTGACTGCCTGTTCTCCTCAAGGTTCATGGAAGCAGCAGGAAACGGGAAGCTCCCTGAGAAGTTGGTGTTAATCAGTCCAAGCTTCTGGGGGTGCTAGAGAGGTACATAAGAGGCTCCTCCTCCTCTCCCTGCAGCTCTTGCTGCTTTCTGTTATTCCTGTCACCTTTTCTCCTGCCTGCCTATTATGTCTCTTGTGCCCTCCTTCCTCCAGCATAGTACTCCACCATCTCTGTGCATCTAGAGCAGAGAGAATACATATGCACCAGAAGGGGACACAATTTTCTACATTCTGGGTCCTAGTGATGCCCCCCACAGTCTGGCACCTGAGGCGGCTGCCTCAGTTCGCTTCGTGGTAAGGCCAGCCCTGACTGGCAGTGTTTATTCACTAGCATGGGCGGTGGGTATAAAAGGCCAGGGGAGCTAAGCCTCCCCAAACAGGAATGTGGTTCACCTCCCTTTGGAGGTGCACTGGCCCACTGCCTTTGGAGTGCTGCCACCAAAAGTGTGCCCGGGCTCCATCCTGAGACCCTGCTCCCTCTCGTCCTCTTCCCCTGTGGCCCCACCTACACTACTCCTTTTCCTGCCCCGCCTTTTCCCATCTCCCCTTGGATGGAGGGGGTGGGGAGGCACGGGCGGGGGGCCAAGCAGGAGCAGGGCCTGGGGTGGAGCAGGGGTGGATTGTAGGCGGGGTCTCGGTGGGAGGAGGCCAAGCAGGGGCAGGTGTCGAGGGGGGAGCAGAGTGGTGAGGCCATGGTTCGGGTACTGGTGCCCACCCTCTTCTAGGGAGCTTCCAGCGCTCATGCCCAGCCTCCCCAAATGCAGAAGTCACTTGCCACCCATGCTCAGTAGTCTGAACTCAGTGAGAAAATATCCCAGGCTGCCTATTGTCCTGCATAATATCTGTGAGGCAAGGGGAGGAAAGCTGCCATCAGGATTGAGCTTAGCGATGGAATGGAGGTCTGAGTTTGAATAGCCAGATTCCAGGGTTCTTACAAGAGCCCAACATAGATTATGCAATTGAAGGAGGCTTTGAAAAGAGCAATTTCACAGTCAGTCACAGTAGTGTTCTTTCCTGGAGTATTTTCTGGGCCTGGAGTTTTGGGTGCTGCTAAGAACTGTGTAGTGCTTGCTGTATATTTATAAATGACTGAGTGTTTCCCTGAAGCTATGAATTCTGTGGTGCTTGGTGTGCTTTGACTAATGCTAAGCATTCTATAATATTTGTTATGAACTAATAAAGATTATTTGATTCTCCAAAAATAGCACTTTTGGTGAAAGAAGAGAGTGTAGAAAATTAATGTGCAAAAAACCCCATAGGCAATGTTATACAAACTTTTAACATAGCTTAATGGGGTGAAAATTTAAAATTATAAAGGAAGTCAACATTTGTCCCTCTGAGCAAACAAGCGTAGTCCCGTGTGGCTTCACATACGCCAGTCATGGGTTTACAACTCCAGGTCAGTGTGTGTGTGAAGCTGTGGTTTTCCTTGTGTTAGGTTGGGTTCACTTTCATATGTTTTGTGACTACAGGAATCCATGTTGGTTCCAAAATGGAATTTTGTACCCAAGTGAGTTATAGGTCCATTTTCCCGGTCTTTAATCTTTCCTGGAGTTGTAAACAACTTCCAGTCAGAACTGGTTTTCCTAAGGGGTTTCCCAGAAGGGGCTTCCCGCCTTTTCTAAGGGGTTTCCCGGGCAAGTGTATAAAAGACTGCACCGAACATGGCCTCAGGGCTGTCCATCTGAGTGGCAGCCAGGGATGGTCACGGGTCTTACCTGCAGACATCTATCCATCCTAGTGATAGAAGGGTTAGGGATTTTCCTCCAACAGCTTCCTCGCCTGTAAAGAGAAGAGAGAGAAGGAGAAGAAACAACGCGTACCTTTGTCATCATCCGTCGCTGTTCTCCTGAGCATACCATCTGTTCTGCTTCCTGTGGTCCCTAAGGAACATCAAGGGACTCCTTGGAGCTCCTCTCCAAAGGCTTGCCATTAGCCAGAGGATCGAGGTCCCAAGCACCTGCCGCCGTTTTGATCTGTGAAGAAGGTTTTTATATCTGTTTTGTAGGGTTGAGTTTGGGGGTAATCACTGTATTGCGCTATTTTGCTGTTTATTCCCACTCTTTGTTATAAACCCTTCAATATACTTTATTTGATTTTACCTTTACTGATTGATTCCTCATTATTTAGGGTGGGAGTGGTCCTCTTTGCAGGAGAAGGGATCGTACCAGGTGACAGATGCTGGACAGGGAGGCCGAACCTAGGGAGACAGAAAGCATAAAGGTCTCTTGTCTTATCACACACACGCACTCCTTTGTTTTTCAGTCCTTTCCCCCTTTAACTCTTGCTGTCCCCAGGTGTGGCATTGTAGAGGTAATGATGGGCCCCATGATGCCATGTGGTATTTTGTGGGGTGTAGGGAGCAGCAACCATGGAGTTATCCAAGGAGTGCAAATGATTGGAGAGTCTGGGATTTTTGGACCCATAGGTCAACCACAGTCTGCAGCATTTTGGTTTGAGGCCTGAGAATACCCCAAATTTCCTGCTCCTTGTCCTGCTGGGACTCCTGGCTTTTTTCCTGTCCTCTTTTTCTCAATACTGTCGATCACAGTATGATTCAGCACTGCTTTGCAGAATCTCGCAGAATATATCCTCCCTAATCCTCTCCTTTCTCTTCCTCATCAGGGTCATGAATCCTGCAGCCATGGAGGGTGCCCCGCTCAAGGCCACTAGGCCAGAAGGTGCTGATAAAACCAGGTGTGCCACTGGATTTACATAATAATGGAAAGATAAGTTTTAAAATTCCCTTCCCTTATTCCTATAAATGCTTTTAATAAGAAATGCTTATTGACTCTTGAGCTTCTCAGCAGAACATTGCTCTCAAGCCCCAGCCATGATGAGTACAGCCTGCCAGGGATGAGGGGTAGGAAAGGATTTTGTTGTATGAGGCTAATAACATTTTGATATCTATTCCATGGATAGAAGTATAGAGCAATGGCACAGAATATTGGCACTATTTTCCACAGGTGGTGGTGGTTTTAGCTGATATCTTACTCCTGAGGTACACAAAGTCACAGAAAACCTAGCTGCTACTGGCATTCCAAAGCCGCCCAGGCCTGTATGCTCCTAGCCTGTTTACTGCAATGGTGCTAGCCGGACTCTTCAAAGTGGCATAGCAAAGTGTCCTACTGCAAAGGAAAAAAAGTAGCTATCCCTAGAAAGCTTCAGGAGAGAATTACAGTGTGTCTCTGTCAAGGTTCCTTCCCCACTCTGAACTTTAGGGTACAGATGTGGGGGACCTGCATGAGAAGCTCTAAGCTCAATTAACAGTTTAGATCTGGTCTGGCTGCCACCACTCCCAAGCACTAATTCCCTTCCCTGGGTAGCCTTGAGAGACTCTTCACCAATTCCCTGGTGAACACAGATCCAACCCCTTGGATCTTAAAACAAGGAGAAATTAACCATCCCCCCCCTCCCCTTCTCCTACCAACTCCTGGTGGATCCAGATCCAATCCCCTTGGATCTAAAAACAAGGAAAAATCAATCCGGTTATTAAAAAAGGCTTTTAATTAAAGAAAAGAAAGGTAAAAGAAAACCCTCTGGGAGAGATTAGCATACCAGCTACTCTCACAGACAACAGATTCCAAACACAGAGGATGTTCCCCTGGGCAAAAACTTACACAAAAAATACCCAAATACCCAATTTGACTATTCCTCTAATTGCACAAGACAAGTTACAAAGAAATAAACATAAACCTATTTCCTTTACTAATACTCACTACTTAATAAGAGGCTGAATTCTGGAGCTTTCCCACTCCGATCCAAAGTGAAAACTCAACAGACAAAGGGAACTTCCCTCCTTCCCTTTGAACCATCTTGTCCTCCCATTGGTTCCTCTGGTTAGGTGTCAGCTAGGCTAGGTGAACTTCTTAACCCTTTACAAGTAAAAGAGGCATTAATCCTTAACTATCTGTTTGACAGTCTCTATGAAAGTTTTATCAAGATCTCTCAGGAGGCTAAAATGGACATCCCTATGCACATAAACAAAGTGCTTTGTATGGCCACCCCCGCCTAACATAACAGGGGAATGAAAAGCAGATGCGAACTCTACCTCTGTTTCTTGTGTCTCTACCACCTCCTTGTTTTAATGCATGAAAGCACTTTCAAGCGTTCCTTTTGCCTTCATCAGGCTCATCCAGACCTGGCTAGATTGTGGCGGAGTCTCAAACAAGTCCCTGCTCACAGCATGGCTGGAGTCCCCCACCGTGTCTCCCCTCCACCTTCCTTCTCACTGTTCATGGCAGGGATCTTTGTCTCAGGTTCTTCTGAGGTATCCATAGGCAGCAGGTCTGTATAATTTTTGGTGGTGCCCAAAATGGTGGTGCCCCCCTGCTCCCGCCCTGTAAGCCGATATAAAATGAAGCTACAACGCATCGGAACCACAAGATTACAAGGGTCAATTAAAAGTGGAAAGTCAGAAGCAGCACTTGCCTGCTTTAATATACAGTATTATATTTTGTTGCACCTGTTGTGACAAAGTGGGAATGTTCTTAATGTTTTCTCTGAATACTGTGTGGGTGTCTCAGTTTCCTCTGCAAGGTGCCAACTGAAGGTGTTGGAGACAAAGAGATCAGGTGTCCTCCTTGTCCAGAAGAGACACAAAGGCCAGAGGAGGGAGTGTCAGTTTGGAGCTGGCTGGGGAAATGGGGAGAAGCCCAGAACTTGGGTCTGGGCTCCCCACCCCCCAAGATGGACCTGACTGAGGGGTCCTGTTTTCTGTACCTACAAGCTCTGTTTTAGACTGTGTTTCTGTCATCTAATAAATTTTCTGTTTTACCGGCTGGCTGAGAGTCACGTCTGACTGCAGAGTTGGGGTGCAGGGACCTCTGGTTGCCCCAGGACCTGCCTGGGCAGACTCGCTGCGGAAAGCGCAGAGTGTGGAAGGGCATGCTGAATGCTCTGAGGTCAGACCCAGGAAGGTGAAGCCGTGTGAGCTTCTTGCCCTGGAGACAGTCTGCTCCAAGAGAGGAGGCTCCCCCAGAGTCCTGACTGGCTTTGTATGGAGTAGTTCCAAAGCATCCCAGCATCGCCTTCCACACCGAGCGCTTCCCAGGAGTCCACACAGGCACCAACACTCCCTCCTCTGGCCTTTGTCTCTTTTCCAGGCATTAGGAGGCCACCTGATCTCTTTGTTCTCCAACACCTTCAGTTGGCACCTTGCGGCCCAGGCCATCGGTTGCCAGGAGACGGGATGTCGGCCATTCTCTGCGCAGACGGCATCACACTGGCCCTCTCGGGCTCTGCAACAATCGCACCCCCTTATCCCACCACCTAGATACTTGAGAAATGCATAGGGGAAACTGAGGCACCCACATAGTATTCAGAGAAAACATTAAGAACATTCCCACTTTGTAACACCTGTATATGATTAGTTATATACTTTAAAGGGTGTCAAATAATCAAGTATTGTGCTAAACACAATGATACTCCAAACTGACCACCAAATTTAAGTTGCACGTTTTCCACCTCAGGTGAAGGCTCTGGGGTGGGGCTGGGGATGAGGGGTTCACAGTGCAGGAGGGTGCTCAGGGTTGGGGTGCTGGTGGCACAGGTTCTGGGGTGGGGCAGGGCTGGGGATAAGGAACTTGGGGTACTGACTGGCTGCCCCAGGGCTAGGGCAAGAGAGGACTCCCCCTCCCCCACTGGCAGCAGCAAGCTCCAGGGGAGGGACCCCTCCTCTTCTCCCGCCCCCTCCCCACAGCACACTCACCCTGCACCACGGTCCTGCACATGCTCCTAGGGCCTCTCTCAGGTCCAGAAAGCCCCCTCGCCTCCCCTAGGATGGGTACTGGGGGCGGGGGTTGCCATCATGGGTGGCCTCCCCTGCTGTTGCCCCTCACCATAGCCTCACTGGGGATGGGGGATGGGGCTGCCCCTTGCCCAGCGTGGGGCAGGAGTGGGGACTGCAGGGTGGTGGCTGGGGGGGTTGTAGGGTGTCACAAAATGCACCCAAGCCCCAGCTGCTCAGGTCTAGGAAGCCCTCCCTCCCCCATCTCCCCTGTGGTGGATGGGTGGGTGCTGGGGGGGGGTGAGACTGCCATCACATGTGGCTTCCTTCCTCCCCTGCTGCAGCCTGCTGCCCCTAGGGTTACCATATTTAAAAATTAAAAAAAGAGGACACTCCACAGGGCCCTCGCTCCGCCCCAACTCCGCCCCTTCCCCGCCCCAACCCTGTTCCCTCCCCTGAGCGCCCGCATTCCCCCTCCTCCCTCCCAGCCACGTGAAACAGCTGCCTGAGCGCTACCGGCTTTGGGCAGCCCCCAGACCTCCGGACCCTGCACCCCCGGCCAGGCACTTCCCTTCCCAGGCTCCGGCGGCAGCTGCTGTGTGCTGCTCCCTGACTCCTCAGCTCTGTAAGAGCTGAGGTGCCCAAGTGCTACCGGCTTTGGCAGCACAGGGTCCAGAGGTATGGGGGCTGCCCAGAGTCAGGGAGCACAGCTGCCGCCACCGGAGCCCAGGAGGGGAATTGCCTGGTCAGTGGCGCAGTCTCCGGAGGCATGGGGGCTGCCCAAAGCCGGTAGCGCTCGGGCAGCTCGGCTCTTACAGAGCCGAGGAGTCAGGGAGCACAGCAGCCACCGGAG